CCTCGCTTTCGTAGAAGACGCTTTCGCTTGGCCTTAAAGGCCGACTGACTATTGTCCCGCAGACCAAACAAACTGCCAAAATGACAGTGATGACACTCAATGTGTTAAAAACAGAAAGTGCCAAGGTTGAGAGATTACCACCAACCTGATACTGTTTGAGCAAACCGTCTAGTCGCTGACTCAACTGACTGATTCGCTGCTCAAAAGAGGCTGTCTTTTCCTCAAAGAGGGCCTTCTCAGCTTGAGCTCGGGTGTCCGTCTCTTCCATTGCCTTCTTCACCGTATGCAGGTCCGCCACCGTAGCACTCAACCGGTTACTCACTGACTGGATAAAGCGAAAATCAGAACATGTAATTTGATAGAAATAAGATCTCAACTCAAATTACTTCTGTGTCCTCTCCATTAAAAACTTCAAGATGCAGCAAGAAGCCCTCTCTGGGAGAAAACATGCAGCGGAAATTCATAAAATGGACGTTGCGCGTCCAATATGTAGGGAGATGAGGGAGGGGGATTAGAGAAATGGGAGTAGTGATAGGTGTATGGCAAGAGCCATTTATTCTTCAAATTCCTATCGGCCGACCACGTACAAATCTAGGCAGGAATCTTGGTAAACACAAGGTGTAATTAACTCAGAGAGAACAGTCTTTTATGAAACTCTAGGCGGTAGAGTAAAACTCATACGCAAAACAATTTAGACAAAATATTACTAAAGGGTAGTATTTAAGTGACCTTAAAAATGCGGAATTCAATTGGAAAGGCGATAAGCTTTCTTAAAAAATTAAGAAGTTATTAGCACAATGGTTAGTTGTACTGGTAAAGCATTCACTTAATAAAAAAGTGGATTGCAAATAAATAAAAGGCGAGAAACAAGAAAAACTGCACCAGTTATTTTAATGGTTCACAAAAAATATGGTGAATTTGTGCCACACTTAAACAACTCCTTTCAACAACACTCGAACACATTTCTAGATTCATCTCCTCTCACGAGTTGACGATGTTACTTAACAAAGAGGCTTCCTAGATTGATGGTACAATTCACCGCACCTCCCCCATCCCGCACCAATCACACATTTGCCCTGGGAGTACGGAAAGAGATTAAACGATCTAGCTCCTCTATTCATTGCCACGATTGGCAGACAGCATGCAACGCGTCGTATGGTTCTAAGCTTCTTCCCTTATTATTATGAACTAAACAGGTGAAGGAATCTTGAAGGCTTAAACCTTAATCCTACCAGTTCAGGACAATCACCAAATCTATGCAACAGAATATGCAGAAGCTTTAGAATGTATCCTGTTAAAGCAATACTAACGCCCTAAAGCACTAAATTCATTTCAAGAGACACTGTATCGCTCAAAAAGTGCCTCATAGAACTA